CCCTCCGCGGGGAAGAAGGTGCTGGAGGCCCGGCCTGGGAGCAGGCCCCGGGGACACCAGGCGGCACGCTATGTACACATTTACAGGGCGCGGGAGGGGCCAGGGTCAACAGGAGGGCGTAGAAAAGGGGCAGTGAGGACATGGCAAATCCTGTACCGTGGGGACAGGGAAGAAAGGCACGAGACAGCGACCCCAAACCATGCAGACGGAACACAGCCTGTGCAGCACAGCAAAGCGGAGGGCCCGGCAGGGGGCGCCGTCCCCCCAGGACAACAGCACTCGCAGCCCGCCGTTCGCCGCCGCCCTCCCGCTGGTGGCTCCGGAGGTTACAGTTACCAAGGAGGAGGAGCCTACAAGGTGGGAGCACCAAAGGCAGCGGCCCCCGCTTCGCCAGGGCCTGTGCTCTCTGAAACCACCCTTTCCAGAGAGCAGCTACAGTTCCCAGCGGGCGGCACGGGGGCCTTAGAGCTGTGCTGTCATGGGGCTCGGGCCGCCCGCGGTGCCAGCCTCTCCCGCTCCCTGGCCCTTCGCGCACAGGTTCAGAGCAGGACGGCAGGACCTGAAGGTCCCTAAGGTCAACAGAAGGAACTCGCCTGAAGTCACCTGGGGGTACGTGGCCCCTCTGGCCTGAGGCCCCCTCACCAGGCGGGCCTCAGTCGCCACCAGCCTGAAGGACCGCCCTACAGGGGGCTGTCCCCCTGTCCCCAGGGAGGAATGGCCAGGCAGGATGCCAACGTTGAAGCCCTCGGCATAAAACCCTCCTCAGCCCTTTCAAAGAGTCGCTGTAGGTGGCCAGGTGAACAGTCATTTTCTTGGTGTGGCGGCCGTTCCCAAACCACCCCTGCTAAATTTGCTAATGCATTAAACACACATACCCATGGAGCACAAAGAGCGGGCTTAGTTTCACCCTGAGCCACCCATCCCCACTGGCCACTGCGGGCTTCTGCCAGTCACCAAGTCCCTCCTTGGAACAAAAGCGCCCGCACTGTGCCCTCCTGACCGCCGGGATCAGGCCGGGTCAGGAGTCAGACGTGCCAGCAGACCGGTGCCTGCGGTCCCTTGGACACGAGCCGGGGTGCTGGCGTGGCTGCTGAAGTGGAGAAGGTGGGGTGGCCCTCATCCACCCAGCCTGAAAACTGCTCAGAGGCAACCCCCACAAAGCCAGTGTCCCCTCCCGCTCAGCTGTGCGAGTAGGTGACTGCGGTTTCTGAGGCTGCTTTCCGGGGGACAGCTCCGCCCCACCCCTTGACCCTGTCCTACCCTCACTCCAGAATGGGCCCGCGCCCGACCCCACGGGCACCTGGCAGAGACCGGCCCACTCGGGTTTGCTGAGCCCCAGGCTGATGAGAACAGCTGGATACGCCAGTTCCTGCAGGCACCTGGCCCCCCATCCTGGGGCGAGGGATCCGCTCACCTCTCACCATCCGCCAAAGCCACGGACACCCCACTATTAACGTAGCACCTGGATTAACTAACCCGACAACCAATTCCACCTGCTTCCTCTATCCCTGGCTAGAACCTTCTAGGGCGGGGGTCTCAACCTGGGGCTACACATCAGGATCACCCGGAGAGCTCTTTCAACATCTGCATGCCCGCACCAATGACACTGGAACCTGGGGGCGGAGATAGGGGGGTGGGGGAGGCTTCAGCCCGGGCAGAAGATTTTACATCTCCCCAGGTGATTCCAACGCACAATCCAAGCTGAAAAACAGTTTCAGGTCCAAGTGCTTTGTGAGATTCTTGAACTCTGTGTTTGTAATAGGTCGGAAACAAAGTCAAGGTACAGGAATTTCCCTCTGACAATTCTTAAGGAATCTACAAATTAAAAAACAAAACAAAACAACTTTTGTCTACGGGTGTCTGGGTGGCTCAGCCAGTTGAATGTCAAACTCTTGATTTCAGCTCAGGTTGTGAGCCGTGGGATCAAGCCCCGAGTCGGGCTCTGTGCTGAGTGTAGAGCCTGCTTAAGATTCTCTTGTTCTCTCCCTCTGCTCTCTCTCAAATAAAAAAATAAAAATAATAATTTGTGTAACTTGGCCAATTTAAAATTACAAACATTTTTTTCTACTAGAACTTTATTTCTTATACTTTCCCACAGAATAAGGCCTAGCTAAGCCAGAGAGTACTTCCTGCTCTATTAGATACTGTATATAATGCCCACTGGCTGATTCAACAAATTTCATTTGGCTTCCAACTGAATGCAAGGATAGCCAAGTGCCGAGTAAAACGTGACTCTGTGGCGGAAACCCTCCTCCATGCCCTGGAAACACCTCCACACTTTGGACAAGTAAGTTGCTACTGATCCCTACTTGGTAAGGTCACCAGGTTCAGCACAAACAAAAAACAAAAGCCACACAGGGCGCCCAGTCCAGTTACAGCCAGTCACCTGCGGAGGTGTTCAAACGTCCTGAGGCCTGGGCCATGCACCAGCCAATGAACTCGGAGTCTCTGCGGATTCCGCCCAGTTACCAGAACTTTAAAACTCTCTCCAGTTTCAGTATGTTCCAAGCACTGCAGGGAACATACTTCTGCAAGTTCTGTTTCGTTTGCCTGACAACACACACCGTGTGTGGTACGGGTGCCAAGAGAAAAGAGCGTTAACTCTCTGTCAGATCACACGCAAAGTTGGGGGAAACAGCGCAAGGGGGCACCCAGGGTTAATACCGCTCTGGAGACCCTGCAGGGGCCGTGGGGCTGGGCCCCTTGGGGCATGTGCCCCCTCAGGCTAGCTTTCAAGCAGGAAGGAGCAATTAAAAATGCTACGTGATCTTTAAGAGCCAATCTGACAGCCTAGGTTGGATGAGACGCATTCTAGCTAAAGATGGTTGGAGTGAACTGGAGACCTGGGTTACATGGAGTTTAGTCTCATTTTAAAGTCCACCCTCTTTCCAGAGACTCCATGCACAGCACCAGGTCCATTGGGGCCTTTCTGACTCAGGGGTCCTCAGGAAGGCCACTCCCATGGTACCCCCTTCAGGAAAGAGGTGGCAGAGTGTTGCTGGCTGACCGTCTTTACATCGAGGCAGCAGAAATTCCTTCCCAGGTAGTGAGTACGTAAGTAAGAAGGCCTCTGGGGCCTTCTCTGGAATTCCAGATCAATGCGGCTAAAGAGCACATAAAGATTTACATATAAAATGCTCATCCCTGGGTGAGTCTCCCACGGGCCAGGACCTTGGTCTGGCTGGGCCGCTGTAGGACTCCTTCCAGTGTCAGATCCAGACCAAAGCCAAGTCCTGATACGTCTCCTTGCCTTTAATTGGGAGCCATTCCCGCCTATTAGCAAATCCTCAAGAGACTCACTGCTCATGCCTTCTTTCTACTGCTGCTGCTTCTCAGACCCCCGGAGGAGCCCAAGGACACCAGCACCCTAAGGGGCTAAGAGACTTCCTGCCCTAGTCTGCCTGCTCTGGGTGACCCCAAAGTCCCGGAGCAGACCCCCGCAGCCCTGGTATCCATGGCATAAAACAAACCCCAAGCGGTCCGCTTAAAAAGAAATCACAAAATCCAACAAAAGCAAAAGTTGATTGGAATGAAAATGGGTCGTGGCCACGGCCCTGCCTTTGTGAATCGGGACACACATATACACAAGTCCCTGATGCCCTCTCCCCCCTCCACTGCCCCCTCTTCTCTGCATACACCCCTTCTTGCCCCTCCCCAACATGCCCGAACTTTCCTTCTTACACTAGAATTGAAGAAAATACACTGCCGGGGAAAAAAACGAGAGATTCGTGTCTATACACGGGTAGATTAAGGAAACGAATCACAAGCCATACAAAGCTGAGACATCCTGGAAAGCGCAGTACGGTATCTACTCCCAGCCACCTAGAACAAAGGATCCCATTAAAAACCCAGAGTGGGGATCTCCACGTGTTTCACAAAGATGGAGGACTAAGGTGTCCCTGCAGCCTTCTGCACCCGTGTCTCTCCTGGCTGAGCACTGGATATGAGAGTTACTAGAAGTCGGGATGTGGGGGGCCTCGCCACCCAGCTGAGCTAAGAAGCCCAGAGCTCAGAATCCAAAACTCCAAACCTGAGGCCTGGTGTCACCGGGTTGTGCGGGGACAGGAGCAGGTAAGCAAGGCCCATTCCCGGCCCATGGACAGTCCATCCACGCTTCTTGTAAAATGCAGCCAAAGGGGAGGAGACGGACAGGGAGGTGAGCGTGCTCCTCCCTGGAAATCAGGTCTTTGGTTGCCCAATGCCTTAGACACCCCTGGGCATTTTAACCTCCTTCCTTTTAAGCCCTTCATTTTACACTCAAGTTAAATACTGCTTCTTTTTCATGGTCTTAAAAACAGAAAGAGGGGTGCCTGGGGGGCTCAGTCAGTTGAGCACTTGACTCTTGATTTCGGCTCAGTTCATGATCCCAGGATTGTGGGATCGAGCCCTGCGTTGGGCTCTGTGCTGAGCGTGGAGCCTGCTCAAGATTCATTTTCTCTCTCTCTCTCTCTTTCTCTCTCTCTCCCCCCTCTCACCCTCCCCGCCCTCCAACCCCTCCCAGACTCACACACTGTCTCTAAAATAAAAAACAAAACAAAAAAAGCCAGAAAGAAAGAGGCAGGCAGGGATGGAGAGGTATACAGACGACTTCCCAAAATACCAAGAACTCTTCGAATGAAGGCCGCCCCGTGCTACCCCATCAGCAAGCCTGTGTCCTCGGGACACACGGTGCACAAGCGTCACAGGGGCTGCCGGCCTCGAGGGGCTCTGGGAGGGCCCCCTCCTCCTCTCTAAGCCTGGGCACCGAGGCCTGGAAAGTGCCCAACGGGGCCAGGGGAGGCATTCGAACTCCTGGGAAAGATCACAATTCTGCTCCGGCTCCCAGAGGTGGGGTGAGAGCGCCTGTCCCGCTAGAGCATCTTTAAATCCTTATCCCCAGAGGTAGACTCAGTTTCATCCAGTGCCTGACACACCGTCTTCCTGTTCTTGTTATTACGGTAACTCCTGATGGCAGACCTTGCCCCCCCCCGCCCCCCACAAAGGGACCGCAAGGTGCAGGGGCAGCACAGAGGTCCCCGGCAGCCCCACGCCCACCCCCTGCTGTGTGCGCGGCTTCCCCACATACACACTGGTACACAGGACATGGTGGCCAGAGAGACGTTTACAGTGCGCGCGCCCCAGCTTGGGCTGCATCCTCCGGCGGGCTCTGCGCCTCGGTCCCAGGGCCAGGGCTCTGAGGGTCCCGCGGCCGCTCCGCAGCCAGGCCCCGTCTCAGTGTTTGATCTCAAGGATGGAAGGGTTGTGGTCCAGGATGGCTAGGATGATCTTGTCCATGTACTGCCGCAGCCGGAAGTTGATCTCCTCCTGTTCCTTAAGGGCTTCCATGAGCTGCAGGGGACGCGAGGGGCAGGTCAGAGGCCGGGCCTGGGCCGAGGAGCAGGTGGAGCCCAGCCTGCAGGGAGCCAGGGCCCGAGACAGAGGGGCTCGGGACGCCCGAGCAAGGCAGGCCCCCAAACCACAGCCTCCGCACCTGGGAACCAGGTGGGAGCAGTGACAGCTCACGCTGCAGTGTCCCGGCCCAGGCCCCGCCCCCAGGGATTCGGATCTGCAGGCCGAAGGCATTTACCATCAAGGATGACATCCAGAGTCCCAGGGCCCCAAGACTCGTAAGGCTTTTCTAGCTGCTTCCTCTACCTGAAATGGCCCCGCCATTGCCCCCGTGCAGGTCCATTCCCTAAGTGGCCTACAGGTCACTGCAATGCCGCCTCTGCCCCCAGACTGGAGGCCGGCACCCAGCTCAGCTGGGAGTCCCCGGAGGCTAGGGATCAGCTCTTAGCTCTGTGTCCCAAGCCCAGGATTAGGGGTGCAGCGACTGTCAACTGATTCACGTTCAGACATAACCAGGGTATTTTGGAGGCCTCATCTTTTATAGGCAACCCTGGTGTCAGGCAGTAGGGCAGAAAGAACGGACTTTGCTCCTGGGGACCTGGGCCCTTCTCCCTCCACAAGCTGCACCATCTTATGTCCTTGCCTCCCAGTCTGTAACCTGGAGACGTCCAGGACGCCCCTGAGTCGTCCAAAGATTACAACACACTACAGTCAGGTGCTCAAGAAACGCTAGCGTCTTTCCCCTCTTGGCCCGAGGCAGAGGGCTGCGAGCCGCTCCTGCACCACACGCGGATGGAGACACGCAGGTCAGCCAGCATCTTGGCACGTTTCCGGCAAAGCGAAGATTCGAGCTCCACCCTGTTCGCAGAGCCCCGCGTCCTCCGGCACAGGCAGGAAGTCAGACCTGCCCTAACTCCCTCACAGCTGTGCACTGCCACTCAGGGGGCTGCAGATGGGGACTCCCACGGGCCCTGGTCTGCCTCTCCTGCTCGGGGTAGCCTGGGACGTACCCTCACAGCGCCCGGGCGCGGGGCAGGACCCGCAGAGGAGCGGCCGAGGCTCCCAGGAAGGAGGAGCGGGCACGTTACCTCATCGCGGGAGGCCGTGTCTATTTCTGCGGCCAGAGACTGGGCTTTGGTCTGCGTGGCAAAGAGGTTCTTTGCTTCGTAGAGGCTGAGGCTCAAGATCTGTCCGTTCAAGTCGTCGTTCTGGTCCCGCAGCTTATGATTCTCCTGTGGTGTCAGATAAATGCGACGTAAGCTCCCAGAACCCATTTCTCTGCATTCACGGTCTCCTGACTGCCACCAGGAGCCCCCCCCCCCAACCCAGCCCAAAGACACCCATAGGTGATGCGGCCTCTGCCAGGTTTAGGGGTAAGGCCTGGGGTCCCGGGAGGTCACAGGGTCCTGAGGAAGAGGTACAGGCCCGCTGGGGGGAACTAACTACCCAGACAAGGGCAGGGCTCCCGGCCACACCCTCCTCCCTGGGGCGGGTGAGCCAGCAGAGGAGCGCCTGATGCCGGGCCTAGGCGCCCCGGCCGCGAGGTGCAGGGATCCTGCTCTGTGGGAACTCCTCCCAGGGGCAGCTCCGCTCCCGAGTCAGGTGGCCCCACAGGGCCCAGCCCGGACCCCCTGTGCCAGGTTTTGCCCTGAGTCTCCTAACTAACTGCACACCTGGGACTCGGGTGCCCCCTCACGTAGGAGGAAGAGCTGGGGTTTCCGGATCGCTGTGGGTGCCAGTGAAGTCGGCTCAGGTGTAGAATTTCTGCAGCAGTTTCCCACCCCCAAGTGTCGCGCTTCACCCACCATCGCGCCCTTGCTTGGTCTCTGCCCCTACAGATCTTGCATCCCCTGACTCCCACCTCGTGGGTGTGTTCCCAGGAACCATAGGAAACAGAATCCTGGGCCCCGGGTCTGCTTCCGGGAGGACCTGGCCCAGTAGACCCTCACCCACAGCTGGGGAGAGCCCCATCCTCCACTGATCGGCAAGGACAGCAGAGGGGACTCTACTTCTTTGTGGGGTCTCCAAGGACAGACCCCGGGATGGGCATGAGGTGCAGCCTAGAGGTGTGCAGCCTAGAGGTGAGCCGCCTGGCCTGAGCTGCGGGGTGGGGGTGGGCAGCCCCACCGGGCGGGGATGTTGAGAGGAACAGACAGGAAGGGGTGTGGGAAGGCGCAGCGGCAGCTCGGCAGGAGACCCGGCCAGTGGGGCCCACCTGCTTGAGCCGCTTGATCTCATGCTCCAGCTCCACCTCGCGGGCCCTGGCGTTGAACTCGCCCAGGCCAGACGACGAGCTGCGCCCCCGGCCCGGCCGCTCGCAGTCCAGCTTGTACATCTGCAGGTGCTCCAGCTCCTTCCGCAAGTCCTCGATAAGCTGCGTGGGGGAGAGGCTGGTTGGCAAGAGCACGGCCGAGGGAGGGAGCCCTGGCGCCCGGTGCCCCCCCCCCCCCCCCACTGGCCTGGGACCCACCTCCTGCGTGGCCTCTCGTTCCTTCTGGAACTCTAGGCGGTTCTGGCGCAGCTTGTCCATCACGCGCTTGTACAGGTCCGTCTCGTCTTTGAGCCGCAGGCTGGTGTCCTCCAGACGGTCACACATGCGCTGCCGCTCCTGGACGGGGGACCGGGTCAGGGAAGGCAGTGCCCTGAGAGGTTCGCTCTGCCCCAGGGACGTCGGGGGCAGGGCTCTGAGTCAGCCGCTTCGCCAGGTGGGCATTCCGACCAGTCCCCCTGTGTCCTCCAAGACACAGCCGGGTCCCTTAGGATTCTCCACCTTCTAGAAGGCCTCTGAAGCCCTTCGATGGTACCAGATGAACCCTGAGTCAAAGGCGCGGCCAAACAAAAGCTAACCTCCTTCTCTCTCTTTTATTATTACTTCTCCCCATTATATAAAAAACTGTACTCGCTGTAAAAAATCTTGGAAAATCAGAAACATAGCAAGACAGATTACTATTCATATTTTATTTTGTTGTCAGAGCAAACTAGCAACTAAAGGCCTTTGGGGCCAGCACTGCCTCTCCATGGCTTCAGCTCAAGGTCCAAGTCTGAGAGACACCTAGGCCGGCTGCTCACCTCATCCAGCTTCTCGGTCTGCGACTTGAGCCGGGTCACTGTTGTCCTGAGCTCGGTGTTTTCCTCCTCTAACTGCTGTACCCTACGGAAAGGACAAAGACAGGCATGTCAGAAACGGGGGTTATCTTACAACGGATGGACAAGTTGTAGCGATTCTCTGCTGCCTGGAGGAGGGAAGATACCAGAAAGCAACAGAGAGAGAGAGAGAGAGAGAGAGAGAGAGAAAGAAAGAGAGAGAAAGAGAGAGAGAGACAGAGAGAGACAGAGAGAGAATGAATGAATGAATATTTGTTCCAAATGGCTAATACGACTTTGAGCTTCCTGTCATCCAAGGCAAGAAGGAAAAGACACTGCTTGACCATCCTTCCGTGTGTGATAGAAGGAAACACTCATCTGTGAACAAGAACACGGGATTCTCATTGCATGCAGCCTTAGAGCCTGAAACAACTCGCAAGATGTTTTTCTGCTAAACAAAGAGAAGGTGGCTGGCAGTGGCTGGGTCCCCCTGCTGGAACTTACACTTGGAAAGCAACGACAGTGTTTGCTTCCCCCCCACCCCCCACCCCCCACGTCACCCCCAGGCTCTTTGCTCGGCCCTCCCTGCAGCTGCCTGTGACCTCCACAGGCACCGGTTCCAGTGGTCGTCATCCTCCACGGGGGTGTTCACAGGGGGCTGTGCTAGCAGGATCCCAGGAAGAGACACAGCACGGGCACCCAGGTCATTTGAAATGACCTGAGAAGGGCAGGGGAGCTGGGCTGTCAGTGGCATCAGAGCAGCGTGGGGTCGTTTCTGCCACCAATTCTCGCAGAACATTCCCTCTCCTTCGTGCTTGTCGCTTCCTTCCTGGAGTGATGGCCCACTGCTCTCTGGGCTCCCCAGGGCTCCTAAGGAGCACAGGGCAGCTGTCCTCTGTGCCAGGGACCCAGGTGGCCTGCCTGGCCTGGGAACAGGCCTGCGAACAGCCCTGGGACACCACAGTGATGTGCAGCAACCCACCTGCCCTCACGGTCACTCGGTGGGGAAGGGAGGGAGGGCAGACAGATGGGGAAACAGAGACCCAGAAAATGACACAGGGAGTCCAAAGTCATGGAGCTAAAGGGTGACCGACCCAGATTCCCAGGCCAACACTCCTCTCCCTGCCTCCTCAGCTGCACCTGTGGCCAGAAGCCCAGAGGAAACTGGGCCCTGCTTTTCCATTTACCTCGGCCCCTCGGCCCCTCGGGCCCAGGGTCAGGACGCCTAGGCGTTGTTCAAGGTCAGGGAGAATCTGACAGCAGGGGGAGCTCTGAGCCCGGACGTCAGACCCAGCCAAGACCACGGTTTTTCAACCTACTCTCCAGCCGGCAGACGTGGAGTCGTTTCCGGTTGTGCCTAGTGTACATGACGCTACCGTGAAGGTGCTTTTACGCACTTCCCAGCGAGCGCGCCCAGGCATTCAGGCATCATGGGCAGAACTGTTACAGCAGGGGCTTCTCTTCGGGCTCGGGTTTCTGATCCACCACGGGGACAGTGGGGCGCGCCCACGGAGGCCCCGTCCCGGCGGGCACCCACCTGGTGTTGAGCAGCTCGATCTCCGTGCCCTTCTCTCTCTCCAGCCTGCTGTAGGCCTCGCGGTGCCGCCGCGCTTCCTCCTCCAGGGCCTGCTCCGCCATGGTCTCCTGATCCTTCACCATCTCCTCCAGCTCGTGCACCCTGAGGAGAGGGGTGCGCACCCCAGTCCAGGGCCAGCCCTCGTGGGGTCTTCCCGCCCCGCCCCCGACCATGACCCCGGCTACCGGAGGCCCTGGCTCAGTCCCAGCTCTGGAAGTGGCGGTGCGTTTGCCAGACCTGTGGCAGCTTCACCCACAGATGAATGCGGACGCCACAGGACGTAAGGAGAGGTGTACGAGTCACACATGCGCCACTGGGGGGCGGGAGGGGGGCACCTGGCAGTCGGTCCAGAGGGGAGGGAGGCTGCACGGAGAAGGCGGCATTCCCAGCCAGGCACAGGGGAGGGGAACGGCGGGCCTCAGTGCGGCCGCGTGAAGCAGCCCTCAGGCCTTGGCTTCTCTTTCCGCTCTCCTCCTGCCTGGCCACTACCCCTCTGACCAGTAATTCAGTTACTGGACACCTTGAGTCCCAAATAGGCCTGTCCTTGGATAGTGGCCCTGAACATGCAAGACCCAGGACAGGGCCAGGTCCCACTGGGGACGCTCTAACCCCGCCACTGGCAGCTGAGCTGGCCTATCAGTCTGGGCACATTTCACTGGGAACAGTCCCTCCGGGAGGCTACCCTTCTGGGGTGTCCCAGGACCCATCTTTGGGCCCTACAAGGTCGAGGGCCAGACCCCGGGCGGGGATCAGCTTACCAAGTTTCATGCCACCCCGTGAGGACAGCTACCCGCTGCACGCACTACCTTGCTGCAGTCGCGGGCAGGGGCCCCCGTGGGGAGGAGGGGCAGCGATGCCTAGACCCTTCCATAGCAGCAGGTGCGAGCCCCCGACTCACACCAGCCTCTCCCCTGCAGAGCTTCTCCCCAGAAGCAGGGGTAGCGGGGTCAGACTCTCACCATTGTAGGACAGAGAAATAGGGGAGCGGGTCCCAACCCCTGTCTTAGACCCACCCTGGGGCTGCAGACCCGGGGGTCAAGGTCAAGCTCCGACCTGTTTCTGGGGCCCCAGAGACAAGTCCTCCTGGGCCATTTAGCAAGGGGCTCGTGCATCACAGCCTCTCAGAGAGAAGGGACAAGACGTGCAGGGCCCCTCCCCAGCCCCCGACCTGTGCACGAGCTGTGTGTTCTCCTGCTTCAGCTTGCTCTTCAGGTCCCCGTTGGTCAAGCTGTCATTCTCCAGTTCTGTCACCTTTTTTTCCAGGAAGCTCACCTACCAGAGGGAGGCAGAGGTGGGGGTGGAGGAAACCTCGCAGCCCACAGGGCCGAGACGCAAGGGACCATGGGACAGAAGCCATGTTTGGTGAGGCTGGGGGCCACCTACCCCCAACTCGTGGGCAAGACCAGGGTCTCTGTCTCCCGAGTCCCCAGAGAGCTGCCCCACGAACCCCCCAGGGAGCACGCACACATTAAGCCTGTCTTCTGCCCACTCAGGACCCACCTTCTCCGTGATGTCATTGTCACAGGAGTCGATGCTGTCTCGAAACAGGTCCTCGGTGCTACCGTCACTGCTACTGAAGTTGCTGCTGTGCATGAGCTGCCTGTGGGGGGTGGGATGGGCGTGGGGAGGGTGGCTACAGAGGCTGGCCTTCCAGGGACCAGGGACCAGGGACCAGGGTCCACACCGGGCTATGGGCTGAGAGCACCCAGTACCTTGGGGAGAGGACCAGGGACTCCTCGAGGGAGGCTGTCCTCACCCAGAACTCAAGAGGTCACCCAGCTCAGAGGCCAGGGGACGGGCCGCTATATCCCTCCAGATCCCAAGCAGATCGAGCCCATCCATCGCGGCTCTGGCCTGCTGCCTCAGGACCCTTCGCACGCTGGCATTCGAGCCAGGAACTAGGCAGCGGCCAGAGCGGGCACGTGAGCCCCCGACCACCTCCCTCCAAATGCAAGACCAGCCAGTGCAGGTAGGCTGGCTCACCGGTCATGGCAGAGCCCCCTGAGGCTAGCCAGCAAGTCTCGCTCTCCTCCCCCGAGCCGGCCCTGCTGCATCTCTGGGGACCCCGGGAAAGGGAAGGAGACCCACCCAGGCCATGTGGGGCAGTGGGTCGGGCGGCTCTGCAAACAGGCAAAGGCTTGCCGGGGGCGAACCCAGCTGCAACTCTGAGGCTCCCCCTCCCAGCTCCCTGCAGGGCCACAGCCAGGGTCTGTGCCCAGGGCCCAACCTGTTCCACCCCTGCTCCTGAGCCCAAGTCAGGGCGCTTGCTGGCCGATCCCAGAGCCCTGGGTGTGGACCCGGCCAGTGTGCGCAAGAACCTGGATCCCGAGACCTGGAGCGGGAGCCTGGAAGTCCCAGGAAGCTAGCTGTGAGGATATAACCCGGAGCAAGGCGACCAGCTCCAGCGGGGCACACTCGTGCCCAGTCTTGGTTGGCGGGAACCCCAGGGCCTGCTGGTACAGCTGTGGGCTCCAGGGTGCGGGGCGGGGCACCAATAGCTGTGGGACAGACGGGCCGGGTCCCTCAGCGCATCCCTGCTGCACCTGCCTGGAGCGGAACCAGCTAAGGGTTTGGAGGGGCCCACTGCACCACTGCCACAAGGGGGGAGGTGTGGGAGTGGGAGGGGGCGGCCCCTCCTTGTCAGGAGTAGAGGTCTGACTGCTCTAATTGCACTCCTGGAGGTCTTCGTTTCTCTCTGCGCACTGAGCACGTGCAGGGCACCGGCTGGGTCTGGGCAGCAGGCAGGGAAAGGGAGACAGCATTCCACCCCTCCTCCCAGGGCGGGGGTCTTACCGTCCAAAGGCCGTGCTAGAGATCTTCCGGTTAGGGCTGCAGGGGTGGGGGTTGGAGAGGGAGAGGGAGAGGGAGAGAGAGAACAGTCATTGAACAGAGGGGGTGCTAGTCCACTCCTGACTCTGCCCTGGCTGCAAGATACCAGCAGGTGCACTACAGGGCTTTGTCCCGCCCACTGCGGGGGATTCACCAATAGGCATGGTCTTCAGTAGAAACACCCTGATTTTCCTCTTGCAGAAAAATGCAAGCCCCCCCAGATCAATCCCACCCTGACACGGCCCTCACTTGCCAAGACAGAGTGGGGCCGTCTTGCCTGCCGCTTCCCCGCTCTGGACCTGCCCCCCACCCCCCCTCCCGGCCTCCCGTCCCTCTGCTGGGTCCTGGGGGGGGGGGGTCTCACCTGTTGGCCTTCAGGTTTTTCAGTCGGGCTTCCAGGTCATTCAGCAGGTTGATCTTCTTGCAGCACTGAGAGCAGTACACATCCAGCAGCTCGCTGTTGTAGGCGTGCCGCATTTTCCTGGGGGTCTGCCCCGCGCTGGTGCAGGAGACAGAAAGAAGTCACTCCCTGCTGTACAGTCTGGCGCCCTTCCCACTCCTTACTTGGCTGGCTTTCCCGATGCCTGGGAACCTTCCGTGTGTGCGTTTAGGGGGCAGAGGGAGTAGAAATATGGCACTAGACACCCCCTCCCCCACTACTCTCAGAGGAGAAGTGGGGGAATGGTACCCATCTCACAGATAAGGCAACAGAGAGCTACTATCAGAGTGGATAATGACGAGGTGGGGGGTTGGTATCACAGTAGGTCACCGAGAAGGAGCCTTCAACACCGAGGCTCTAGGGAGCAAGGGAGCAAACACCCCAGAGTCTGCAGCCTCCCAGGTGGGTTAAGTCTGTCTCTTCCCCGAGCCAGGAGGAGACAGGAGGAATTCTCGACTCCCAATCAGGGTGCAGAGGCAGCACCCCCGAGCTCCAAGAGCAGCACCCGTGTGGCTCAGGACTCTGCCCTCCGACCCGTCCTGGGATGAGGTCTGGTCGGCTCTGCCACTTGTCCCGGACCCCACACTGCCATTCCAGACCACGGGGCCACCTGGAAGACACTGAAGATCCCAGGTCCGAGTAAACGTTGGTCCTGGTCTCGTCGTCGGGGCAGGGGCTGCTAGGGGCACAGTCCACGTCATCCCCCTCCCCGTAGTCTTCAAACTGCTCCTCGTTGCTGATAAGCGAGGTGGTGGAGTGCGTGGAGAGGTCCGAAGTGGTCACGGATGGCGCGTGGCCCAGGGACCTGGGTGGCAGAGAAGGGCTGGCTGTTAACACGGCCCCGTCCAACAGCCTGTGCCGCTCCGCAGGGGACCGGCGGTGCCACAGACGTCAGGAGCCCGAGTCTGAGCTCGCTGACCTGGCAGGTGCATTTCGGGGACCTCATCCTAAGGGAAACATCTCACCAGAGAAACGGTTTCTGCACAAGAAATGTGCAAACCAATAGTTCTCTAGAGCAGCCAAACGCTGCTTACAACCCAATGGGTTCCCTGTGTTAACTTATAATAAGTTACAATAAGTCACGGTAGACGGGGCCGCCTGGGCGGCTCAGTCGGTGAAGCGTCTGACTTCGGCTCAGGTCATGATCTCACGGTTTGGGAGTTCGAGCCCCGCGTCAGGTTCTGTGCTGACAGAGCCTGTGGAGCCTGCTTCAGATTCTCTCTCTGGCCCTCCCCCACTCGTGCTCTGTCTTGGTCTCTCAAAAAATATATATTAGAAAGAATGTTTTTAAAGTTACAGTAGATGTATAATAGAAAAGTATATATTCTATATTGCAGATATTAGCCAATTAAATGATTAAGTTACAGTTGTAAAATGATAATAGATATTAGCAAATTAAGTGATCAAATTTTGGGTTATCTAATTGTTGAAAGGTTTGTAAAAAAATACTGGCAGTAATATGGAAACATTTATATAAAAGTTGAATATAAAATTTAAACACAGAAAGGAAAAGGTCTATATGGAATAAAGAAAAGGAGGACCTAAAAATATTTACATGGTAACAGAGCCTGGGTTTGGGCGATGGGAGTGTGAATAAATCAATCAGTCGCTTCCCCCCATTCTTCCTTTCCTACCTTTTCCAAACTCTGCTTAATCGGCTTGCACTCTGATAAGAAATGAAGTTTTAAAATAAACAACAACGAGCTACTGGGTGAGGTGCATCTCCCCGTTTATAGAAGGGATTCACCGCAGAGAACATGGGTCAGAGACCCCAGGCCTCTCATGGATGGCCCACAGTGTGGCCTGTGACGGTGTCTGGGGCTGGCTGAGTCCTGCCCACCACCTGAGAGCTGAGTACCACTCGTCACCTGCTGAAACAGGTCTTCCCACTAGCGGTTGTGAGGTCAGGTCTGCGTATTGCTACTCAGAAAGGAGGGTTTCTCTGCGCTCAAAGCCGGGCGACTTGAACCCGGGACAGGAAGCATGGGAGTGGGTAAGGCGGGAATTCTCCCACCGTGGCCTTGAGCAAGCCTGGTCTCCAGCTGAGGATCACAGTGTTGATGACGGGGCACTAACGAGGGAGCCTCCTGGTCCCTCCACCCGGCTGTGGTTGAGCTCGCTCATCCGCCCTTGGGTCCCTTGGCACCTTGGGCTGGACACGTCATACTCCAGCTCCTTCTCCGACACATTTCATTGAAACCCTCGGCATCCCCTGCTGGCCACCTCCCGGCGACCGGTCCCAAAAAAGACAATGTAGACAATCAAGTGGCAAACGGCCGATGGTCTGTGGCCCCTGGCCAGCTGTCCTCGGTGGCTGGTCACAGTGCGGCTGTCCCACTGCTCCCAGGAAGCAAAACAGATGAAAGACTCCAAAGACATCACCGAGAGCAGCCTGACTCCCGGAGCCTCTGGAGCCTGAGAGGCTCTGCCCTGCAGAAATGTATAGGAAATGGCCTTTTTTTTTTTTTTTTTTTTGAAGGCAAAAATGATTACGAATTGACGATTTCATACAGCTCAATTGCTACCGGAAGCCCTCTCTGAACCTCTGGGGTGGCCATGACCGCCCTTCCTATGTGTGGCGCTCCAGACAGTTTGAACTCACTTGTCCTCTGGCAGGAACAGGCCCCCGAGCCCTCCGTCCTTCTCTTCGGCGGGACCCCCCACCGACCCCTCCAGGCTCCGCGTGCTCTCCATGGGGCTGTCCATGTCGGACTCCGGGGGGCCCTCGGGTGGGGCCAGTGTCATAGCCTCCTCCTCGTCCTCGGGAAAGAAGCCGGGGTCCCTGGGGAGGAGCTCGCCATCAGCAAAGGCAGGGCCTGGCACCTCGCTGCCCTGGGAAAGACAGAGGAGGATGGCACGAGTGAGGCCGGCTCCCCGGGGCCCTGCATGCCTCCTCAGAGCGCGAGGGTGTCAGCAGGACCAGGGACGGCAGGGACCGCGCACAGGGAGGCCCAGACCTCAGGACCTCGAGAATGCGAATACCCAGCAGGTGGTTCCTCGTGGGCTTCTCACAGCAGCTGCTGAGAGCCCGGTGAGGAGCCAGCACCCCTGGGGACAGCCATCCATGGAGACGGGCCACCCACGGGCTGGGCTGGCCACCCACGCTGCTCAGGGCACCCGGACAGGAGCCAGACGGCTCTGTGACCGAGTTTAGGGCCCAGCCATGACGGACAGCTACCCAGGGTGATGACCCCGCCCTGGCAGAGTGTGATGCAGCGCGGCCGAGGGATGTCCGCGCAGCATGGAGCCTGACCTCCGGGACGCTGGGCACGCCAGGTCCCCTCTGTGACCCTCACTTCTCTCCTCAGCTAACTGAGAACGACCGCGGAATCCTGCAGGATCACTGTGTCACATGGTAGGACCTCAACATGGTGCCAGCTGGGGAGGGACAGCGTGCCCTGGCCCCGCCACAGCCGTACTCAGGAGCAAGAACACAGAGCCCTTCGATCCTGAGCACAGGGCGGGTTCCCGGCACCTAGCACACCGCCCAGCACAGCGTCACACGAGATAAAGATTTGCCTGAAACCTTTTGCCCAAATCACCCTCTAGGCAAGGAGCTCTGGCTCTGAGAGGCAGCGCCCCCACAAACCATTCTTGGGGCTGTTACCGCCGAGGGGGCACTGTTTCCACCTGCTCCCGGCCGAGAGGTCAAACTATCCCCAAGGATCGTCAGTGTGCCCCGCATTGAAGGTGCTTCCTGCAGCCCCAGGACCGCAGGAAGGGGACAGTAACAAAGGCTGTGAAGAGCCTCCAGGCATCTCAGACCAGAACAGGACAGGGGACATTCAAGGGAGGTGGTCAGCAACAGGCTTGGCCGTGCGCCCGCAGAAGGGCGCTGTCACCTGCCGCTAATGGTGGGCGGGCAGCCCTCACGGGGGTCTATCCCACCAAAACATCCCGGCCCAAGAATAGATGGCAATTAACGAGCTTGGCTCCTGCCTGTCCCCGGATTCGGACCGAGCACCGGATGGACTGACAAAGTCGGCGTCAGGCAGCCAGGCCCCCCTGACCGCGGAAGCCGAGGGGCTGTGTAACTGAAACTGGCGCTAGCGTTCACATGGCCCTTCCCACCTGGGTGTCACCAACCCAGTCCCACAGGGCTCCTGACCTCATCGGATCTCGTACCCGAGGCGAGCTCTTCATCCGCAAGCCTGAAGCTGCCTCCCAGCAGAAACAAAGGGAAGCCGGCATTTACCGAGCAGTCACCAAGTTCCGGAGGCAGAGCTGACAGCGAATATGCACTCTTATCTGGGCTGGGGACAGCTCTTCAGAAGAGCGACCCCTACCCCCATTTTACCAACGAGGATATCGAGGCTCAGAGAGTAGCCTGCCAGAAGGTTTGGGGCCAGGAGGCAGAGGGCCCCACCTACCCCTGACCGCCCGCACGCTCGGCTCCGTCTCTAGGTGACAGAACCCACGCTCACGGAGCAGCGATCTCGCGTGGGAGCAGCTCGGTCATCACGAAGCCCGGGCGCCCCGCCCGCTGCCCGCTTCCCACCCACAGCAGGACACTCCCCGGGGCGGTGCGTGGAAACCAGAAGAGACGCCAGGCCGGAGGGAGACGGCCACCGAGGAGGGCCGTGCTCGGTTCCCTCACCGGCAGGCGGTCTGCCTTCCCGGCCACAAGGGCTGGGAGCGCCTGCCTCGTGGCTTACCCGAGTCCTTGCTCACTTCCAGTCCTCACAGCCCTAGGAGGTGCATCTGCTTTCCCCGCTCACAGCTGAGGTGACTTGTGCGGGGCCACACCGGAGCGAGTGGCAGGGCAGGACTGGACTGGGAGCCACCAGGGCCCACACTGTCCTCACAGCCCCATCGACAGGGGTCCTGGGGAGGCTGCCGGCTGAGGCAGGCAGGACACCAAGCAGGGACCGGGGAGTCCGGCTTGGCCTCTGGCTAACTCAGGTCTGTCCCCTTGGACACGGAGGCCCAGTTCCCGCCAGGCACTGTACCCAGAGACACCCATATGCAGGTGGGGCCACCGGCCCCTCTCACTGGCTGTCCCGGAGCCACATAGCCCCTCCCGAAGGCTGGGCCAAGAGAAAAGAGGGGCCTGTCGCAGCCACAGGTGGGGCAGGAGACGCCTCGGATGCCCCCACAGGGGTCCTGCCCTCCCAACAAGACCGCCACCTCCTCGGGCACGATTTTACCCTCTGACCAGGCAGAGTCCACGTCTGCCTGGCCCTTCACACTTGACGAAGGGTCTGTTCTGTCTCCCACAAGTACCCCCGTGTGGCTCAGACGACAGCCCCAGGGGGGCTCCGGGGAGAGGGCAGAGATCAAGGATTTATAGGCTTAGCCTGACGCATGGGGGCGGTGAGGCTCAGGGGGCGAGGGGGCTGCCCTGAACTTCCGGAGGAGGTCCTGCTGTGACCCGAAGCCAGGCTCCTGACATGCCAGGTCACGGCCCCTCGCCACCCACGTGCACGCGCTCTCTCCACATGCCAGCCTTTTACGATCAGCTGCCTCCCCACATTAACACCTTTTCATGGTTTGCGCAAGGCAAGTTACACTTTCTGTAACTCTGAAACCATTTCTGGCAGCTTTCCTCTCAATTCAACTAATATAAAGACAAGCTATCGGAAAAGTAACCACGTACCCTGGTTGGTCTGGGACGGTACTGGTTTGGCATGTGTCCCGGACAGAAGTGGCCCCGTCACCCTGACCCTCCCCTGGGAACGTCCTGACCCTGCTCCCATTCCTCGGGGCGGTCTGGGGAAGGGCTAGGTGTGGCACGGGGCCGGGAGGGGTGCCCCTGGAGGCGGGGACAGCCTGCTCCAAACCCAAACACCTCAGGAAGGGAGGAGGCGGAGTGGAGCAGCTGCTGAAAGGGGAAACGGCTCGCTGGCTTGGAGATTAGGAAGTATGCCCCCCCCCCCCCAAGAAGCCGGGCCTGCGAAGTGCCCGATACCGGGGGTTTCTGGAGAGATCGGGGCCCTCGCCACTGGCTCCGGCAGGACAGATCTGCGTCACCGGTGTCCCCTCCACGTCCCCACCCCGCCTCCAGCTGGGACTGGCTGCAGCGGGCACTGGCTGGAAGCGGGAACCAGGGGGCACCCAGCCTGCCTATGGGGGCCCCTCTCCAGTGACAGCAGCAGGCCCCAAAGTCACCCCTTCCTGTGTAGGAAGTTGGCCCGGGCCGCATGCAACAGCTGGGGGAAAGTACCGCTGGTGGGGGACGGCACCCCCGCCTCAGAGGGCCCTCCGGTGCCCACCGTCCACACTTCCAGAGGGCGGCGCGGCATGGCCCAGAAGTGAAGACGTTGTCTGGAGCTGCCCATCACCCAGCCGGCCCTCCCGGGATGCCTCCTCCAAGTCCCACACATCACTGCTCTGATCTCCCAGCAGCAAGGGCACGGAGGGCACGGGCCCCAAGAGACCCCGCTCCACAGTCCCTGGGAGAGAAGACCCTAAACTAGTAACCATGGGGAGGCAGCAGCGGAGCCCCCGATAGCGAGCACATGGGAGGCGATTAGCAAGCCTCTGTGGAAACAAAGTGCCCTGCACAACGGTGAGCTGGGGAGAGCCCGACCATGGCGACCTTGAGGCCTGGGTGCCCACCGGACTTGGCCACTGGCCGGCTGAGTGACCCTGGAGAAGCTGTTGGATTTCCGAGCCTCGTCAACGAACAGGGATGGGAACACCTGGGCAGGACTGCCACAGGGGACATAGAACGATGCCCCGCGCCTCGGGTGCTGGGACGGGGCAGAGGCAGGCACAGCGTGCCGGGAAGGCGCTCTGGAGGCGCACTGACTGGGGGCAAACCCTGGCCCCACCGCTAAGTTCTGCAGCCTTGGGTCTCCCGAACTTCTCAGTGCCTCGGTTTCCTGGTCTGCGGACGGAACTCGCGATTATCAGGAAATGAGTCAGGACGGGTGCTCAGCACACACTGACGACGGTCAATGAATCTGAGCTATTCTGGTCTTCACTGGGTTGAGAGAGGACAAGCAGTCCCCGGGAGCCCACTGCTCTGACCCCCAGGGGCACACGGGGCGGAGGCAGCCTGGGTTGGGCTTCAGGATGCCTGAGCTGCAGGTGTCTCTCTACCCCCCAGGGCCGTCTTCTGTGTACGTTTTCGGAAGGTCTCTCTGCACACTGATTAGACACTCTAACGGGCGTTAGGAGGAGAGGCTGCGCGGGCGAGGGAGGCCAGGAGGCTCGGGCTCCTCCACCCCCAGCCCTGGCAGTGGCTCCGCTCGCCAGGCAGTAACTCAGAGCCAAAGAACAGCTCTGTGGGGACCAGGCTGGGTAAAAATAGCTCGGGCGGGCACCTCCCAGCTTCCCTCGCAGCCAGGCACTGGCGGGCACACGTGGAACCCCGCTGCAGGGAAGGCACTGGGTGGGGGGTGGACACAAAGCAAGCCACGTGCAAGGGGGGCTGGGCCAGGGATGAAATCTCTCATCACAGTCCCAGCCAGCCCACTCCCCAGGAAGTGGGTCTCTCGCTGGGTCTTCCCCACGGGCAGAAGATCAAGGAGCTAACTGTGGATGCCGACACCCCCAGGTCCAGAGAGAGGGGATGGGCTTACCTGGAGCGGGGTCCCCTACCCACCACCGTGGCTCAGCCACCCACTAGGCAGGGCAGCAGCGGAGACCAGTAAGCAATCCAGGCTGTACCCACCTCCCGCCTGTGGCTGCCAAGCCCTGCACGGAAACCAGGCCTGGCCCTGCTGGAAGGAGGCAAGATAAGATTCTGGCTCAACAAAGGGTTGCTCGGATGCCAGTCCAGGGGCGAGGGTGGGAATAAGGGGGGAGGGAAGGATCCACACAGTGCAGCCGGCGCCTAAACCTCAGCTTCTGAACAGAAGTAACGGCTCAGATACAAGGCCCCAGCT